CTTTGTTCTCAAATGCAACTTTTTCTGATAATCTTCGTCGAGTATTTCAAAAGCCTTTTCTGCTTCTTTAATTTGCTCTTGAAGAGATAGATCTTTTTGCTCTTTACTTTTTTTAATTAATTCTATTGGTTTTTCTATTGGGTCAACGAAGAGTTTGGTGATCATACTTGTTACGTTTTTAATTTGCGCTTTTACTTCTTCCATTTCTTTGTTTTATCAGTGTTTTTAGTTGAAATGAAGAATATATTTTTAAAATATAATAAATGTAAAAATTTAAATAAGAATTGGATCTAATAATTTATTTGAATAAATGAATTATTTAAATATATATGATATATAATTAAAGTCTGTCCAAAAATCTTATTTATTCCATCAACCTCAATTATCAATTATGATTGGTTGATTTTTTTTTCTTTTTTACAACTTAAAAATTACATCAAAAACAATAAAAAACAATAAATTTGATTGTCAAAGATTCACGCTTAAAACAAAGAAACGGTGCTTTGTTACAAAAACAAATTTAACGATTTATTAGGTACGCGATCTAAACAAAAAAACGATGTTGGTGTGTTTAAAAACATGTTAGCAAACACATTAAACAATCGAACACAACAATGAATCAAACAATTGAAATGAAAAATATAAAACAACGAAAATCATAGAAAGAAAAAGTGTTGTAAGCGTCGAGGAATAAGAGTTTTGAAGTTTCAGACAACCAGTTTATAAACTCATTAAATTTTGAAAATACTTCTACTTTTCTATTTTAGTTTGTTAGCGATATTTTTTTTCGTTTTTTGTTCAATTTTATCACCAAATTGACTGTATTTATTCACTTTTAAATGTTGAAAATGATTGGTCAAATTGTCTAAATTTTATTTATGTTATTGTTTGTGTTATTGGTTATATAGTTTTTAAATAATTATATTTATAATATCCTTTTTGATGCTTATTTTTCCCGTTAATTGGGAACATTAATTATTGACAAAAAATAAATAAAGTTAATGGACAGACTATATTAATAATATATGTTATAATTTACATTAAATAACTATTTATCACAATATACTGATTTCTTTTTTTTTATTGAAACGAACTTGGACGGTTTGTATAATTTGTTTTTTTACAGACAAATCGTGTAACAACATAGTAAACAAAGCTGCTGTAACAAACAATGGTTGTATCTCACAAATATCAAAATGCAAAGAAATCAACAATTCAAAGTGTTCAAAGTGTTCATTCTGGTACTCTCCAATCAAATATGGCACGTTGTGTGAGTCACGTGCTGTTTGGTCGGTCATAATTGTTGCATTTTTTGTTTGTTCTTATTGTTTTGATAGTATTATTGTATCACTTGTCGTTGTAACCAAAAACATTTTCAACAAACTCCACACACACAAAATTGTAAAGACAACAACACTCTTTGCAATGAATATATCCAACATTAACTTTGTTTCTTTCCAAAGCGGTGTTTGTGTTTCTTCAACTGTGATAGACTTGAATTCAGACACTGAGCAGATTGAAGTCAACAAAGAGACTAGTCAAGTGTTGTGTGTAGGTAACACAAACAAAAACTCCACTAAAAAACAGTTTACAATTTCATCAAACATCACAAAGTTTACAATTCGTGTTGATCCAGAAGTTGTCACACTCAAATATGACTTTGCATGTGAGTTCTCTGTTTTTGTCACGCCGTTGTGTTCTTGCAACATCGACAACAATATCCAACTTATTTCTAAAAACCTAAAATAAACAAAGAGAA